TCCATTTTCACTTAAAAAAAAAATAAAGAGGAATAAAGGATGGCGCAGTTGGGCTTATATTAGCTTCGTACAACTAATTGGACAGAAGATTGTCTACAGCAATGTTGATTAATGGCTCGGCTCTTAAGCTGGGTACTGCAAGTACAAAAGAATTAAGGCCTCTGAATCTGCATAGTTTCCATAATCACAGACTTGATCACAGCTCTGTATCGTATTCAGACTCCCCCTCCAATCCCTGTACTTACGATGGTTTAATTTGTGCAAGTCTAACTGCTGACAGGTACAACCATTAGATACACACAACACATGACAACTCAATCAATCTGCATACCTGCTACGCAACTTAAGACAGAAACAACTCAAGGCCTAAAATGGTGAAAATCAAAACAAAATCTCAGCTTTCTTCAATAAGGAATGCTTTGTCCAGTACAGAGTCACATTTTTTTTTAAATTGCTCCCATTCCAAACAACTTATTTACAACTGCAATAAACACACTTCCATCAAATTCTGTTGACTTAAGACAGCAAATACTTTCTTATCAGAGTGCACTTAGAAAATGAGAAAGTTAAAAAATGACAGAATAAAATAGAACTAACCAAACCAAACTGCATTCAGACTGACATCTTTGCCAGCCAGAGTTTGAGTATCACAGGCAGACAGGAATACAACAAGACTTGGCAAAGGGAAAAAGATCAGCAGCCAAGTTTTACCGAATAACCAGCACATAGATGACAGGGAAAAGAGCTGGAGAGTTTAATAAGTAGCTATGATATACACTTTTAAAAGTGCATTAAAAATAGCTTTAAATAAAGGCTAATATTAATCTGCTCTGCTGGTGGTCCTTCTCTGCAGCTGCCTCATTCAAAAGCCATCAGTCCTCTCAAAATGCAAGGAGTTGACATGGCACATCAAGTGACACATCACTGACTTGTCACGACAACAGGTGTGAGCCCAGTAAACAGCTACTGGTCTTGTGTCAGAGCCACCATTTCTCATTTATTTCACACTTGGACCAGTGATAAGAACAAAATGAAAGAAACTTACCACCACCCCCTGTGCCATCTCTACCACCTGCTGGAGCACTTTTAAGGCTGCTGTTACCAACTCATCCTCTCTAACCATCACGAGTGCATTCAGTGGTCTTACTGTTCCTTGTACATAACTAATTGGGTCTTAGTTCCCCCAGCAGTGCGTTCTCAAAAGGCTTACAGACAAAAGCCCAAGTCCTTAACCACCCACTGCCCCAAATGTCTTCTGCCCTCTTACTTCAACTTTCCTCCCAAAATTTCCCACTGCAGCTGTTTGCAGAACAAGGAAAACTGAATACAGTGTCCAAACTGGATACAGATAGAGAATGGATACAGCGTTGATTCAGGTTTAAAATCATTCCTAAAGCCCAATCTGGGATATTTGTTTTTCAGGGATTTTTATTACCAGCATTTCCTCTAAGTTCCAGTTTGCAGCACAGCATATGAAACAGATGTGTCAGCTCAGCTGGACAGGGTTTAGATTAAGGTTAGGTAGATTGAAAGGGGTAGTTCCTTCCTGCCATTCCACAGATGCTGTGGCATGCCCTTTCTTCTGCTATCAGTTTCATATTGTTACTGTATACTTGGAACAGATTTCAACCAACCCCCTTTTCGAATTATTTTCCTCTCTTCCCTGGCTCCATTCTACGCTTTCCTACACTATTTAAAAGACCATCACATTTCTCTGGACTGCTCTTAGTGATATCTGATGTTTTTCTTTCTACAATTACCTTCCCACACTGAGAAAATGTAAAACACAAGTTCCAGAACAGGTAGATTACTTCAGTTCTATCTGTACAGACATTCAGGAAAGCATTTCTGAAACATGATAGACTTGTATTTGGTGAAATTTGGTGGTGGCTTTTTTTTCTCTGTTTCTTTTTTTGATATTGTATTCTCGTTATGAAATGCTCAAGCCAGTGGATAACTCAGAATTACTCATCTGTAGATGGCTATTGACATGCAAGTTGCAATGCAGGAATGTCTTTCTAAGCAAAAAGTTGTAGGCAACAACATTAAAGAAAAAAAACATAAATAAAACTGTTAATCTAAAACTTGGTTTTGTTTGCTGAAGGGAGAAATAATTTTTCAGTTCTTAACAGGGACACATTTTAAGGCCAAAACAACAAGAAAAAGGTGACACCCAAACAATTGATCAAAGAATGTGAGTTGAAAATGGCAACGTATTCTGGGCTCCTGTTTGGATTATTTGTTTTTAATACAAAACTAAAAGATAAACAAGCTTGTCTTTGTCATTCTTTGCTCAAACACACCAGACTAAAACTAAAGCTTTCAGCAAGAAAACCTAGCTCTGTTCTTACTAATCATTTCAAAAGTAACAAAGCATCATTTTAAACTACCATTCTTACAGCATAATCATTTCAAACTTATGTGAAAATAAACATAAAAAGTCATTTGAAATCAACAAGACAGCATCTAAATTGCCATAATGGTCAGGATTTGTCAAACATTGCTCAGATGCTACCATCAAAACCCACATTACCTAACTCCAATCACTTACAGTGATCATCAATTTAAAAAAAAATAAAGAAAGAAAAATTGCACTTCACTCCTTTACTTCTCATTCAAGCCTTGGAAACAGGAAATTGCAGTGGTTAATGGTTATGGCCGGGTCCATGCAAAGCCAGAGTACAAAAGAACATACAGGTGAGTACTCAGTGAGAAACAGTTCTGGTAAAATGTTAAGTCAATGAAGACATCTCTGGCATCCAAAGTCCTACAGGGTGATATGTTCTTATTAAAGCTTAAGTAATTTGTGAACGATTTTTAAGTAAAACCTACGAAAAACAAAAGAAGCCTAACTGGAAGTACTTCATAAGCAGGGCTCCCAGCTATACCTCTCATCACTGTAAATGACTGAACAAAGGCTGCCTTAACATTGACATAAAAACTAGCTAGCAGCATTCAGATTGAACTGAATTATAAGGAAAATACAGCCTAATAAGTCAGTGAACCAGGAAATGTATGTTTGGCATATCAAGGAAAATATTTATATTTTTTTATTATTATTATTTGTATTATTTATTTATATTTGTATTTTTGTTTAAAGTGATCCTCCCCATAACACTTCTTCCATCTACAATCTAAACTTCTTAGAGGTTAGTAACCTGCAAAGCACAGAATTATTATTTCTATTGTTAGAGATGGGGAAAAAAAGCACCTTTAAGCATTGACGCTTCTTTGCTGTCCAAGACAGTTTCATGCAGGAGGAGAATACAGACGTCCAAATTTAGAACTACATAACCCAGAAGGATGGGTCTTCCATTGACTTTGTAGGACATGGAAACTTAGATTTCATTTATGCCACCAAAATCTCTGCTGGACCAATTTTTACCCTGGCGTCAATGGAGGAAACAGGGGAAAAGGGAATAAAAGGCTTTCCTCACCAAAGTTCATAAAAAATGTCTGTAAAGGTTTAGGGTTTTGAGCAATGAGTATTCTACGATAAGGAACTTTAGTTCATTGACTGTAACTTGGTCTTTGAAGAGAGGCTGCAATGAGGACAGACTGAGGAATAATAATTTAGATTTGGTATGAAGTTATGTGCAAGGCATTCAGAATTTCATATGTGTAATATGAATGTTTTTAACTGTGTAATTCTCTAAGACAGTTTGACATTTGAATTACAAACTGAATTCCTCAAAGTACTTCACAGTATCTTTTTCCATATCTTTGAGAATAAAATTTGCTGTTACAAATGGTGTTTTAAAAAAAATACATATATATACATATTATACATATACATGTTTGTTTCTGCTCAGCATTAAGGGGCAGAGTTTAGCATACAGTACTTAGCCACTTGCATTCAAAAGAGGTCTTAAACATAAGAAATTATTCTGTTCTTTAATATGGCCATTTATGTCAGAAAAATGCATGATGGCTAAGTCAACGTGCCACAGGAGTTTATCAGGCAACTACAAGAAACTACTTGCTTTTTCTGACTTTATTTTCATTGTATGCTATTTGTAGAATCTATTCTACACTCTGCAAGCTAAAATAATAACTTTATAAAACTAGAATTTATTTTAGATTAATCTGTGTGAGAAGTCAGATTTTAAAAATCAGTGTGATTGAAACAGACTTCAAAACCTTATTTTATTCCTATACTTAGTTATATCTCACTAAAAAATGAGACGACAGGTGTCCCCATGAAGCATTTTCCTTTTGTTAAGTCAGCATTTTTTTGAAGGAAAATCAATCCACTGAAATAAAAAGTTACATATATTCAGCTCTTACATTTGTATGACAACTAATGTGATCAAGTCTTGATTTCAGCTACAGTATATGGGTGCCACTAAAATACTTGAACTCTGGGGAGAAGACAGACAGGGGCTTTGGGTGGGCTTCATTTATTTATGCTTATTACACTTGCTTGCTTGTGGGCTAGAAGTTAAAAAATGAGCAATACTTTGCTTGAAGGCAATAAAACATTTGTCACAGCTCACAGCTCACAGCACAGGAGAAAAAAATGCATGCCAAAGACATGCTGCCAGATTCTGTGCATCTCTGTTAAACCAGAACAATGAAAAGTTCTATCTTTGCACCAGGGAGCCTGCACATGGTATAAGCTGCTGCTCTTGCCTGCTTGACCAAGCTAAGCTAAGTTAGCAAGATACAAGAGAACAAGAGAATGGATTCTTTGCAAAAGTCAGCCACACATCCAGTGCTTGATGGTAAACAGAATGAGGAGGGAGCTTCTGGAAGCAAATAAAGTAATGAAAGAAATCCCCAGTGTCAAGTAATAGCAATGGGTAATAGCACACTGTTCAAACAAAACGTAAAAACTCCTTACTAAACTGAATTAAAAATACTTTCAGTGTAGACATCTGTGCTTATTTTTCAGAGTTGACTAAACTACTGAGAATTATTCTGTGCTTGAAAACTCATTTAACACCTAATTAACAGTGACTGTTTTTTAACAGTTTATGGGAAAGAAAAGGGAGACTCACCTTGTATAAAGCAGGAATGATCTGATGCATTTTCAGTCGATGAAATACAAAGATGTCGTACACTGCTGAAATTGCCAGTACAGTCACTCCTTGCTCCTTCCACAGCATGCTGCATCCAGCACAAAGTCCCGCTCCCAAGATCCAGCCCCAAGTTCTAGCTGAGGAACTTCTTGTAGAGCAATGCTTCACGTAACACATCAGGGAAAGCAAAAAGAAGAGGCAGGCTCCAATGTCTGCCCTCCCCACTATCCCTGCTACGGCTTCGGTGTGGATCGGATGAGACGCAAACAGCAAACCAGCTATCAAGGTCCAGTACCCATCCCCGAAGAGGATCCTGGAGAAGTTTGTGAAAAGGCCTGTGACTGCAGCATGCAACAGGATGTTTACAAGATGGTAACCCCATGGATCCATTCCTCCAATGGCATGGTTGATGCGGAAGGAGAGAGTGCAGAGAGGTCTGTATGACTTGTGGCTCCCACTGTGAGTGAGAAGCGTTCCCCAGAAATCATTGTAGAATATATGGGTCCAGGGTGTCTCTGGCAGAAGGTCCTGGTTTGTCTTGATAGCTCGACTGCAAAAGACAAGTAAAAACGTCATTTCAATAGAATGAAAAGAATACAAATGAAGGGCTGTGAAAATGTAATCACACTGCTACAACAAGAAAGAATGGCGTTGTTTTGATGTTGCTTTAATCCAAGTTTTTAATTTCTACAGGAGATGTTAGAGAAGTCCACATCCATTGACTTTTCACTAAAGCAAAATTTCCATATAAATTGGCTTTTAAAACATTAGAAACAGATGTTATGCTGCTTCCATTAAATTAAAACACTCTTCAGTTGCATTCGTCTGAGTCTAACCCAGGAGTAATTGGTTAAGATTTGATGAGTTATAATTAAAATGTAAAAGAAATATGAAAAACTGACAAACACTGTTGTTGAAACAACTGATTCTCCAGTAACTGAGAACTAAAACCCCAACTGGCCCTTTATACTGAAATTTTAATTTAGATGTTGGAATGAATCTCACTGACATGGATGAACAATAAACAGAAGTTGGTAGCAGCATGCAAATTTCTGGTGTGCTATGGGCACTCCCACAACTTTCCCATACATCTTTTGACTGACAGCAATTTTCAGTTAACACCTTGCTGAAGGCAAGCAGCAGAGTATTTTACAGGAGATCATACCTCTTTCTATTTCTTATATTTACAATTTAGAAAAAAACATTTTTTATGTTGTATTAGCTTAAGAATTCAGGCCTGTGTCAAGTTGACTGGGGGCAAAAAAAAAAATGCAGTTTTCAGCATTTTTGTTTCCAACCACCCCAGCAAGGACTGGTGCCAGCCATTAGCAATCTCCACATCTAATTCAGTACTGTAAAAATCTGTCCCCTTTAAAAATCCAATCATTTGCATTTCAAATTTATGCTGTAGAAGAAGGTGTGAGGCCTGTTTAGTTCAAAAAGATGACTAGAATTTAATTAATTACTTGTCTTCATAACTAAAGTTAAAATTAAGCAATTACAAAACCAATAGCAACAACAAAAGTGCTTTGTTGTTGCTACTGAGCTTAACTCATTTATTATTTATTTTAACAGGGTAATTGAGAATGAGGGCAGCTCATAATTCTAATATTAAAAATATTAAACAAGAGAGATGATTTATCTCTGTTTTTTTTTTACTGAGTCCCCCTTCCTGCCTTTCCAAAAAAATATATTTCTGTAATTAATCATGTTTCAGTTCAGATGAGGAAGCAAGAAATGGTACAAAATTCAGGCCAACATCAGAAACGCACCAGTCAAATTCATTCGCCCAGATTCCATTCACACTCTCATCTCCCAGTGAAAGAAGAACCTTGCAATCTGCATCCAAATCCCAGTTTTTATGCTATTCATTTCAGGAATGTTGCCTTGTTCGTTATAGAAAAATACTCAGACACTGATATGCTGTGCCACAGAAACTCCATACAAATACCCTAAATGACATGCAGCTCAAGGTTTCCATTGTCTACCGTGCATTGCTGTAATGCTTTCAGACACGCTTCCTATCTGCATGTCCTTTTGTCTCTGTGCACATGGAGGTTACAAAGAGGTCAGCTTAAATCCTATAAAGATCTGATGATGCCTTCTAGAATGCTTGAAAATTTTCATTTTGACTTCTGCTTATGCAGTGGATCAGGTTCCTTATATTTGTTTTCTCGACCCCACACACATTTTTCTCATTTTAGTCCAGTCACAAAAGAACACTGCAAGAAAACAAGATCTTTGTTTTCACGTTATTTATCTTGTCCTTTGGAGGAGTCTTTTCCTGAAATCTAAGCCCTCTGTTTGTGATTTCAGTTTGTAGTAGCACTCTCAGAGTCATAAAAGAAAAAAAAAAACAACAGGAATTCAGTAAAAGTAAAGCAGGTGTTAGGCTAGAAATAGTTCTTTCTCTAAGAAAGGCACAGTATCTAAGACTACAGACTCCTCAACAGTGAGCAGAGCTAAGAATGGCTATCAGATGTCAGGATTTAGAGCTGAAACCTTGAATTCAAATACTGTTTCCCTGAGAAAAAAAATGCTAAGGAAATAAGTGGCAGTAACACTGCCACTGCAACTGCCTTCCCTGAGGCTGATGTAAAAAGACTAGATGGCACACAGGTCACAGCCATTAAATCATCGGGTTTTACTGTATCTTTTGCAAATGTGCCTACTTCCAGTACTTGAAGCCATGCAACTGCTTCTAAAAAAAATAAGTAATTGTACACAGCTATAAGACACATCTATACGCATGTATATGCACGCATGCTAAGATACTAGCTGATGTCCCAGACAACTCCACGCTGCCCTTATAAGAGAAAGGACCAGCTTGGTCCCCCCCCGGTGAACAGCCCTTCCCACACAATGCGTATCTCCTTGAGTTCTTCCTTGCCAGGAATAAACTGTTCCTCAAAATTATAAAGAAACCTATTGTACATTCAGATGGCGTGAATTCAGTCAAATTTCATTTGTCTCAGCAACAAACTTGATGAAAGCCTGACTCTTTCTTGTTGAGTCCTATTCATTTAAAAATCAATCAGCAGCAAGCCTTGTGGGTACAGTATTGATTTATTGTATTTAGCTATAAAATTCCACAGACAATTGTGGAATAAATGTAGTTTCTCATGCATGTAAAGGTAACACAATCTAATATCTGCCAGCATGAAAAATATAGAAACTGCTGGTTCCACCTTACTTACTGGCCCAGTCATATAAAATGCTGGACTGTCTATGAGACAGAATTTGAAAGAAAGTTAGGAGTTCTTTCCAGATGATGATTTTTTTGCCGAGGCTTTGACCGTAACAACAGCAAAAGCCTGGTTAATGCTTTGGGACACTGGTAAAAGCAATTACAGGAGATGAAACTAGATTTCCTATAACAAAGAAGCATGTCTCACACAGGCTGCTGGTTAAGCTTCAACTGCCACCCTGCTTCATATTTTAAAATGTAATAAAAACTACACCTGGCCAACAAAGACTTGACTGCACAAGAGGATGCAGGAGTATGGACATCTGAGGTCAGGCAGCCCTATGCCATTTTGCTCTTAGAAGTGTGAAAGGCCTCCAGCTCCCACAGCCCAACCACAGGGCCCCCAGTCCAGGCCCTCCCACAGGCCATGGCCCAGCCCAAACCTGGCTGACGAGGCCTCATCTTTAATTACTAAAATAACAAGCTATTACTTCTGCTGCAGTATTGATGCTTAGGCAGTGATTTCAACAGCAATTTTAAAAGCAGTTCCTCCTGACGGCCTGACAGGCAGTGCTGACATGTCCTTTATAATGCTTCTGTGCTCACAGTGACCGGGGCTCTCCGCAGATAGAAAATGTTATTAACTGCTGTCTCCAGGAAAGACTCTGGGATAAAGGAAAGTACAAAACGTCTTTTTAGCCTTGTCTTCTCCTTCTCCTTCACTCACAGTTTACCTCCAGTTTACGTCCTGCAGATTAGTCCAATCTTGCTAATGGGCATAACAAGAGAAGCTCGCCAACTGCACTCATCACTCTTAAAAAGAGCTGTAAACTCTGCTCTTGCTAAAAGGCACTGGGTCACAAGGGAAAGTCATTTTTCAAAGCTCCAACGCAACTGGCATTTTTACTTTCGAGCAGCTTCAGATAAGGCTTGCAGACTCAGCCAGGGAACTCGCTTTCGTCAATTTTTAATGCCTGCCCATTTCACGCATCCCGGGAGAGCAAGATATCTCATTCAGAGTACAACAAATGGATCAGTTTGAGAGTAGAAGAAGGAAGAATCATAGCCAGCTATCAATACTTTAGAAATGGAAGTCTGAAGAAAGACAAGAGCTGTACAGGCAAATCATTTGTTTATCAACTCAAAAGATTCCTTCTGCCTCCTGCTAATTTGCTGTGTAGGTCAGTACACACCTTCAGCACAATGCAAGTAAGATTTTTTCCATCAAACTCAAATAATAGCAGAGACCGAGCAGTTCATACATACACATATATATGCATACACACAAAAAAGCCCAGATGTTTTTAAAATTAACAGCTCTATATGTCCTGAACTTCTGCACTAGTGCTAAACTGATCCAGGTGTTAACACCAGGGTAAAAAAACAGATGCAACATTCTAAAGTGATTTAACACATTAAGCCATATGTCCAGCTTCAATATTGCTAATGGCCCCCATATGCTGAAAACGAACATCAGCATTTGAAGTATGGGACATATTTTTGAGAAAAAGGAGAACTCCCAAATGTGCACAAAGAAGCTATTGCCCAGTCTTCTCTCACATAAAATAGATAGGCAGTGATGGACTGGCAAGTCTCTATTCAGAGGTTCTTCCTTGGTTTTCCTCAAAATCATTTTAGAATATTTAGAATACTCCATTTTCATAAGTAATGGAAAAGCACCCTGTAGCATTTTTATAGTAGATCTTAACAAGTCATGCTAAGGAGGCTTAGAATATTTCACATTACCTATAGAGACAGCAAGCTTGAAAACAGCCTGAGCCTCCTTTACAGAGTACAAACAGCTTCACATCCCCTGAATATACAGCAGCTGAGTCTGTCCCTCCAAAATACTTCCAGGTGATCGGTTCAGCAGGCATGCGTCAGATAACAGGCTAACAACAAAGGTTGTCATAGCTTGGATAATTCTCATGCTTACCCAAAGACTAAGATATACGTGTAATCTATATTGATAACCAAAAAAAAAAATAAAAAATCAGAAAGCACTATCTGGTCCATAGAGATGCCTTAAGAGTAATAAGCATTAAGTATGTGAAAGCTCATTCATCTAAATGTTTAATTACAGACTCAAGGGAACTATTTACCATTCTTGCATATTTCTGGCAGCAATTATATCTTGCATGTTCCATATTAAAGTTCATTTCTTTTCAATAGTTGTGAAAGTGGTATTTATCTACAATACCAGCAGGCTATAAAATTTTATCCATGCTGGTTTTCAAAAAGAGGTACCTATATTGTACATTGAGCAGGGACACCTGCAGGAGACCAAATTCTATGCATCCTCTGGGTTTCAGGTCGCAGCTTTTAGTTTCTCTGAAGAACAAATTTTCTTAGGTGAATCTCTA